GGGAGATCTTTGAATAAAAATAAATTTCAAATTTTGCTTTAAACATCTAAACACATACTGACGCCTTTGTATTCTAGTCCTTTATAGCATTTCCCTCATTTGGGTCCCTTCCTTCTGAAAAGCGACCTTCAAGTGTTTTCTCTGTGAGATTTGTGAATGGTCAGCATTCACCCTTGGAAAAAAAACTTGGAAATTCTAGTTTGTTAGGACTTAGACTTTTGTTCCTGGTTGCATTTGTCTTTTTCGTCTACTCTTTATGAAACAGTTTAGCTAAAAGTTACGGACATATTTTTCTTAGTGTTGTTTGGGTCTCACTGTGTTTCTTCAAATAAAGTATTTACATCTGAAATTTTTGTTCTAAAATATTATTTACCTTGACTATTACCTTTGTTTTAATCTTTTCATTTTCCCCTTATAACTCTTATTGCCTATATGTTAGCTTTTTACCTTGTGTTTGTTCGTGTGTCCATCTTCACGGGTGTGCTTCATGTGTGCCTGTGCATGCAGTAGGCCCCAGGGCATAATCTCAGGCATAGTCCACCTTTTAATTTTAATTCGTATTGAGATACCCTATCACAATTGCCTAGAACTCACCAAACAAGCCAGGTTGGTTAGCCAGAGAGCTCCAGGAATCTGTCTATCTCACCTCCCCAGTCCTGGAATTACAAGTGCATGCCACCCACCTAGATTTCTGTTTCTTTTTAACTTGGGTTCAGGTTCTCATGCTTGCAAACACTTTATCAGCCAAACTATCTCTTCTGCCCTTAACCCTTTGCTTTTAGCTTTCCAATTTCTTAACCTTCACTATATAACCCTGTGTATAGCTACCATGCCTACTTACACCTCATCTCTACTATTCTAAGCACTTGCCTCGCATGAAATTCACATTCCATGTCTCCCTCCTCTGGAGTCTATAGCTGGTGTTTCCTGGTGTTGTAATAGTACTCAAGTATCATTTTCCAGTTTCTTGGGTCTCTAATATATACGACTTGGGAGCACCCTTGTATTTCTAGTGACCTTTGAGTGTAAATATATAATATAAATGATGGGCATGTTCAAGATAGGCCAGAGTATAGAGAATCCTCAAAGTCAAGTCCAGTGGAGGATTTGTCTACAGATATCTTTATCTCATTAGTAAGTTAATAATTGAGTACAGGATCCTAAATTTGTATCTAGGAGAGGCTTGGAATTCTGGGGAGTTTGGCATAGGAAGTGAGCCTAATGTTCATAATATACATTTTTCTTTTTAAATACCTGAAGAGATTTCCTATGGAATAATAAAACTTTCTGCATCACCTTGTGACACACAACTAGAGCTACTATGTGCCTTCCCCAGGGAATGGCTTCATACTCACATAGAGAAGAATCTTCCAGCATTCAGAACTGCTAAGAATGCTATAGACACTCTCAAAACATCCTGAGTTCCACATAAATAGAAAGATTTTCAAGTCTAGAGAGATTCATCACATAATTGTAGAAGTTACTGGGCTTCTTTCTGGGTTTCCAGGCTTGAGACTCACATGACTCTTCTGTCTCATCTAGAGATTACTTCACCAACATGTCTGTGCACAAACAATTGTGCAGTATTTATTGATTGAATGAAATAAGATCCAGATCCCAAAGCCTCAGCACCTTCCAACAACAAGCTTTGATTACTCTTGGCACACAGTCCATGAGAATTGTCAATTGACTATGGCTTTGCCGTGCTACACTGAAAAAAGCTACATTTAGGAAGTTCCACGTGTCCTTTCATTGTGTCACCCAGGATAAAGGATTAACCACTAACTAGAGCATGTTGTTCAAACAGTAGGGCAAAGAAACTCAGAAACTCAGAGAGAGTGGGGAAAACAGAGGCAAACCATCAAGCACATAAACCTTTGCTTGGAAATGGTCTGTGCCATTTACTCATATTCCAAAAGGCAACACAACCTACACAGCCCATTATAAAGTCAATGGAACAGGGAAGCAAGTCCCTTCTATAGATAAAGCTTGATGTGGACAGGAAAATACCAAGGGAGTGCTAGAATCAGCTCACAGGGGCTTCCAACAGACAATTCTTTTAAGTTCATGGAATGGCCAGTCAGTCATTAAACCAACGACATTGTGAATTGGAAATACACCATGGAAGTTGGAATAAGACCAAACTTTCTTAGCTCACCTGCCTCCCCCCTGGCTAGTTTTAACATTTACCAGCACACCACTAGAGGGAACCAGTAGCTGTAAACAAATACCACTGGCTACCATTGTTTCCTAGGCAACCAGAACCTCAAGGAGTCCAGAAGTAATAACAGATTAATAGCACTTAGAAGGGAGGTGAGGGTAGTTGGGAGGAGTGGAGGGGGGAACTGCGGTCGGGATGTACTGTATAAGAGAAGAATCGTGTGTGGAGAGTGTGTGTGTGTGTGTGTGTGTGTGTGTGTGTGTGTGTGTGTGTGTGTCCTTCAAGATGAGTCTCTTCTCTGTACTATAAAGGACTCTGTACTTATTTTAGCTCAGAGGAAAGAATCAGCATCTGTTACACCTTCTTGACTCACCTTCTGGCACAGCAAGATGAAGTAAAACCAAGGAGGTAATGCTGGCATCCTCCCTCTTACATGAGCTCCATTTAAGGTCTTGTTTCCTTGGCAACACACCTGACACTAAAACTACTTCCAGTTCCCTCTCCTCTCACCTACTTTGAGTATTCAATGAAACATTCCCTCTTGGCACCCCACATGAGCCCGTGGGATGGTTTCCAGACGAGGCCCCTACTTTAGCACGAAGTCCCTTCCTTAAACCAAGCTTTAATTGAGTCCAACATTTTCTTTCCTGCAGTGTGGGCTGGATAGTGCAAAGTACTGTCACTTAAGGAACCCCAGGTGCAAAAGCTGGGCTTCCCCCAGCCTCATGCTGTCATCCGCCCACCTCCCACATTAGCCAATTGACCTCTACTGTCAAGATTTTCCTCCTAAGCCAGTGGTGAAATCAGGGGTATTTGCAGATTCCTCCTGGACACTGTCCCATTTGAAAGGACGATGAAAGGATTAAGGAGAAACCAACTTGAAAGGATACCAATAGGTTTCTGTGGAACTGCCTCTGGAAAGCACAGGGCTGTGTTTCTTCAGAAAACCCATGGCCATTCCCACCCTTTGTCCTTCCCTTATTGCTACCAATTTTCCTCCCCCACCCTCCACTCCGAACCTCCCACCCTCCACCCCTCCACCCCCTCCTTTGCTCAGATCCACTACTTCAGAGGGCTGGTTCCAATTGCAAGGCTATTCCTGCACCAGTCTCTGGCAACCAGAGTGAAAGGTGCCGACAAAGAGGCCCTCTCCACAGCTCCCTTTTCACAAGAAGCATGTATCCAATTAAAGGATTTTAATTAAAATGCTTTCTGTAGCATCCTGTTTCTACTCACTATTATAAATTCAACTTGACATTCTCTGATTTAACAGGTGGGTGAGATTATTCTGAAAGCTGCCAGATGAGAGGAAATAGAAGCTAGGCTAAAGGAAGCTGTGTGCTGGTGTTGAGTGTGTGTGTGTGTGTGTGTGTGTGTGTGTGTGTGTGTGTGTGTGTGTTTATGTACATATGCACTCACATGCTGATGTAAGTGCATAGTTATGTATGCATATGATTGTTTTTAAATGAGTTTTTGAAACATTTGGCTTTAAATATAGAAATCATGATACAGCACAAGGGGCCACAAGAAGAAAATACAACTGCAGTCTTTAAAAACTAGAATCTCATGCAAACTCTGTTAAAATCCAAGCCCATGGCCTCTCTTTCTTTAAATGTGTGTACATGTGTGCATGTATTCCTAACGTTATAGATATTATTAAATAAATAAATACAACCTGTTCAGTCTGCAAAATGCATAGAACTTGTATGATGAATAATGAACTTGTATTAAAAAACAAAAACAAAACAAGTCCAGCAGCACCCAGTTGTGCATTTTTCAATAGTGCGGTTTTATTTCTAAAATATCAGCTGAAAAGTAGCTGTACTCTCATTTTTTTGTATGAAGGATATGATACTTGCTACTTACACAAGGGAATAAGGGGGAGGTTTCTGTGTTGGTGTTGCCAAAGACAGGTTTTACATCTTCAATATTGTGAAATTCTGTCAGTTTAATGTCTCGAGAAGTTCTTATAGAACCATGTCTTATGCCTTCAGGTAAGAATTGACCAGTTGTTGAATGCTCCCTTTGTTCACAAACAGGCAGTTTATTTACAAAGCCAGTACTCACAGGGCTTTATCTGGGTTCTGTGCGGGAGTGATGCTATCCTCCAAGTCTGGACCTCTGCTCTCTCTAGCCCCTTCCTTCCAGGTTCTGCTTCTATCTCTCCTCCCCACAACACTCTTTACCACTTTAACACAAACTCCCACTTTAAATGTCTTCCATAGTTGCAATTTATTCACTTTGTCAACAAGACCAACTAGGGTTGTAGCTATTAAAAAATATGCAAAATACATTTAATAATGAGAACATGTTGGAAAGAAAAGGTTAAGGTGGACAGTGTTGTTTGCATTTATCTACTAAATCATAATCTTAAATTTTATGTTTATACGCCTTTCTCTCATTTGAGCTGCTAGTCCCTGTGGGTAAGGATTGTGTCTAACATCTTAAGGTAGTAATCAAAGTATGTAACCGCTAATGCAGCAGAAGTGTCAGCTAGTGAAAGCAGAACTAGACAATCCTCACATACCCCAATTAGACATTACCTCTGCAAAACCTCACTGCACCCTCCAGATTTCAATGTATCTGAATTTGATCCATTGCTGATTTCATAAAACAACTGTTTTCTTATACTATATTAATGTTACTATGTTGCTGGAGGGCTTCTCTCCAGGTTCCACCAAGCCCCACAGTCCCACAATCCACAAATAAAATAATCACTCAGACGCTTATATTACTTATAAACTGTATGGCCGTGGCAGGCTTCTTGCTAACTGTTCTTTTATCTTAAATTAACCCATTTTTATAAATCTATACCTTGCCACGTGGCTGGTAGCTTACCAACGTCTTTACATGTTGCTTATCCTGGCGGTGGGTGCAGTGTCTCTCCCCCCTTCTTCCTGTTTCCCCAATTCTCCTCTCTCCTTGTCCCGCCTATACTTCCTGTCTGGTCACAGGCCATCAGTGTTTTATTTATATAGATCGATATCCACAGCATTACTATAGTGGCCTGAAAGAGTAAATGTCCTTCAAAGGGTCTAATTTAACGTTTAAGAGTGTGCATGTATTCAGTTACAAAGCCAGCATTCGGGAAGCTGTGTTCAAGGCCATTCACAGCCACAGGACAGTTAGGGACCACTCTCGTTTACTAGGAATCTGACTGGCTGAGGGTGGAGTGGGGAGGAGAGGGAGAGAGAGGAGGAGAAGGAGGAGAGAAAGGAGAGATGAGGAGGGAAAGAAAGGAGAGAGGGGGAATATATTAGGGGATTTTTAATTGGGGCCAGACAGCCACCATGAAACGGGGTGAATGTCCTTGTCACTCCTAGCAATGCATTAGCTGTCTTATCCATGTAGGAAAGACTTTCCAGGACAAACTAGCTCTTTAGAAGCTAGTTTGCTTCTTCTACAGGAAAAGTTCTAAGACTTCAGCTTCATTGTTTAAGTTCTGAAGCTCAACAAAGTTAGAAAAGTACATGATACCCACCTGCTGCCTTCTCTGTCCTCTGTGAACAAGAGCTGTTCCGTCATGGTTCTCTGTGGTATCTATAATGTCTAATCCCACTTGGACACAGGTTATATAGTGTACAGATAGACTCACTTCATCTGCTGTGGACACCTAGTGAATAGCTTATGCCACAAAGGCTTAGAGACCCACTTTTGTCTTCAACCCACCACTCAATGTTCAGGAAGGAGAAGGAGACACACTTCAAGTGCAGGAAGCATCTTCACAAAATGACTAGCCACTTCAGGGTATGCCTGTCAACTTCCTTCTCTTCTGAGTCTTTCCTTCCTCCATTTCTAAGGCTCCATTCATAAAATAACACAAAGAGAAATGAAGAGAAGTCATCTATGTGGTTCAAATAACTAGTGGGCTTTGGGAACAGGGTAGTAGTTAAACCTGCAGCCAGACTATAAGGCGCATGTTAGAAGTCTACCATCTCTCAAGCCCATCTGTGGACACATTATCTCACTAGAAGACAGCTGCCTCAAGCTGAAAGAGAGAAGCCTAGAAGGAAAGAAGAAACATGTCATTTTCCACTATGGATTTCACAATTATGGAATTCATTACCCAAGTAGAGTAATGCAAGCTGAAACTATAAATGGTTGCAAGTCTGAGTAAGAAAAACACTTCACAGAGTTCATTAGAAGACTGAAGAGCACTTGGCGTGGAGTGTGAACAATCAACAAACGGTCACTGATGTATCCCCATGTCCAGGATTGTGTTAAGTACAGATGGGAAGGGAAAAAAGAAGGGACCTTGGTCCCAGGCCTGAAGGACTTGACACAGCACGGGAGTGAGATTCGCCTCCCAGTGACTGCATGTAGAAGCTGCTTGTGGACAGCAATGAAGTGCTCTGGAAAATGAGAGCCCTGTGCCTTCTCTGCCTTCTTCAGCGTGTGTCCCAAATGTTCCATAACCCTTGGTACCTTCAAGCTTCAAGAATTTGGGTAGTGGGAACGAGAACTGAGGCCATTGTAGGAAATGCAGCCCCTGAGTGAAGATGGTTGAGTTGACATGGGTTGCTGGGCTCAAAGGTTCCTTTCCACCTCCTATACTATAGGTGAGCAGGGAAGGAGAATAGGGGAAAAGTTAAGCAAAGACATGAAAGATAAATGACAAAATGGTCATCTGTCTATCAAATAACAGAGAGAGGAAGTTACAAAATCAGACAACTGAAATCTCTGCCAGCTCCAGAAATTCCTTGATTTATACCCCACTTGATCTAAGTGGAGTCAGTGCCCAATACATTTGCCCCTCTGAGAAGCTTAGGATACAGCCCCACCAATGGAAATGCACTAGAGAAGGATTTCCCACCTTATAAAGCACACAGGAACAGACAGGATACAAAGGCAAAACTGAACATTAGACAGATGTATTTCCGATGATCTGGGTATGGGCAGGCTGTCTCCAGGTTCATGTTTCCAGGTTCTTGGCCTCTTATTCAAGGAACTGAAGCCAAGTCTTACACAAATTACAAGAGTAACAAGGAGACACTTCGGAGACAAGCAGTGGTGAAGGTGAGGAAGAAAAGGCACTGCCAAGATTGACAGCGAGTGCAGAAATGAGGTTGCTCAGAGGCCCCAATTTTTATAGGGCCTTCCCTTTATAGAGTTCAAGAAAAGGAGTTTGGTTGCTAAGGAGTGTAGCACAAGTGTTTCTCTGTTTTGATGGACAGTTTTTAAGTTTCAGAATCTCTTTCCTATTGTACGTGTCCATTCCCAAATTGCATATGATTTCAAGCATTTGCATCCTCAGTTATATATAAGATTCTCCCTACCGGAAAAAAAAAAAAAAACTCAGAAGATCGGCTTGTCTTGTTGCATATGTACCGCCAAACCAGTTCACAGTAGATCAGCCCCATTTCTCTTGATTTCACAAACTATTCTAGGACACATTTGAATAGAAATTGGTTGTTGCCAAGGGGTTGCTAAGCAGAGTAACTGATTCCCATTACTTAAATCCGATATACATGCAGGCTTAAGCAGGAAGATCCCAGGGTACTAGTTAGGTTATTAGGGAATGGGTACATACATAGCCAAGCCAAGGAGAGTTCGAAGTTGCTATGCTCTTCCCTGTGCTTTCCTACCTCAATTACTATTTTCAACTGAATCCACAAGAAGAGATCATAGTACAATAAATGAGAAAGGATGATGGCTGACATGTGAAACAGATTCTCTTTGTTCCTGAGAAATGTCTAATTTACCTCAAACATCACACTTGGTTTCTCAGATGATTTTCTAGCACTTTATTATTTTTAAAATGCCATATGTATTTATGTATATATACAATTTAAAAACATATAAAAGAATGTAGGGAATATATAGAAATGCAGCTTGGAAAACTATTGTTGTAAAACTGAAAACCAAATTTAAACTCACAAATGGTCACTTTCTGTCTAAGCAGTCACCCTTTATGTCCCTAGGGTGAAATCGATACATGGGTCAAATCATTTTCCTTCAAAACACCCAATGAAATGAACTTTCCCAAGAACTCTCCCCAGATGTAACATGTTTTTTTATTTTGGAAAGAGCCTACTTATGAGAGTCTGTGCCTGCCCTGTTAGAAAGAGATGAATTTGTCAAGTCTTTTGGCATTGAATAAGGCCATAAAATATGTCCATATTTCCTCAAGTGATTGAGTTATTACACATCAAATTCTTGCTATG